TCTTAGTTTTAGTTCTTGGGATTGAGAGGGTTCTACTGTCAATGGAAGAACGTAGTTGTCTTGTGGGGATGTAAGGAAGCAACAGTTCAGAGAGATAGACAGGAAAGTGAGGGTCAGTGAACGAGTTGAAGCAAAGATTGGAAGACTTGTATTTGATGCGAGAGGATATTGGAAGCCAGTGGAGTTCACTAATGCATTTATCACTCATCCAAATAAGAGAATCCTTATGAAGTTGCAACTGGTTCATTTAGATTTGTATATCTAAAGACCCGATCATGTGACAGATTGAAACATTCTTATCGTGTTTAATGTGAGATAAATGACCATAATATTTCAATACACAGAATTACGAGTAAAATTAAATATATTAGAAGATATAAAACAAAGTTGTTTTAAAAAGGATAGGGAATGAATAATTTTTATTAAGTTCAAGGACGTGCAAAAAATATGTGTTAACGTAGGTGTGTGTGTGGGGGGGGGGGGCTACAATCCCGTGGATGATTTTATTAATTTTTATTAAAATAAGGGGTGGGGGGATTTTATTCTTTCATGTTGGCCGAGGAAGCGCAAGATACGTCTTAGAATAAAGGAATGAACTTGATCAATATTTAACCTCACTTGGTACATATATATCGGTAGTAGGAAATAGGGTGTGGACAAAATCTTTAAATCAAATGATAATACAGTTGTGGAAAGGGGATTATACAATCTGTATTTCTTTTTACCAATAAACAAATTATGTTTACCAATTAAGAAGATCAATGGCGTTAACAAATCATGTTCATTAAATTAAGTATAGCCATGAATATCAAAACCCAATCATTTTCCACACGTATAAAATTTACTTTTGAAAACTAGAGATGGCTCAATAATGTCTTTTAAAAAAATGAAAATGTATTTTGTTTTTATTTCGCGTACAGTAGATTGGGTGTGCATGGTCGTGGGATTAATGTCATTTCTGTACAAACGACACGCAAGGCTTTTACAGGCGTGAAAAATTGTTACGAAATTCTTCTTCAGATAAAAGAATTCTTTGCTTTACAATTTTCCGCTAATCCAGTAGAAAACAAAGGCAAAAGTTTGGTAAAAGTTTTAATGAAGATATCAGAATATCAACTTCCGTTGACATGAAATATATTTAAAATAGTATATAGAGAAGTTGTTGTAAATTTAGATTAAGATTTCACAATTTGAGAAAAAAACTTAGTTTAGGGGCCGGAAAAATAGGGTAGCCCAACATTTAACAATTTAAAAACAGAAGATATCTATCAGAGTATTTCCCTGGGGTAGAGATCAGTCGTCAATAAACTCCATTAGTGTCAATAATGATTTAGTTAGTGATCATTTAGATGGGACTCGTTAACCTTGGATGGCAACTCATCTATGAGAAGGAAACTCTGAAATCAAACCCGGAGATGGAGTCCCGAAAGGCGGACAACATTGGTATAATGAAACATTCCGACAACTCCTGCGACGTCACTGATGCCAAGCTGTATCATCCACAATGATGTTCCCTTGGGTTTTCCAGCAGCGTGGAGAGAGGCGATTTGCTGCTGGGAACCAGCTTATAACAATTGAAGAAAAATCCCATGTGGATTTCGTCCTCCGAAGCCCACTCCTTCGTCACATTGTGACGGACGGATGCCAGCATTTAGATTTGGTAACTTAAGTTTATTTTCATAGGGAAAAATGTAGTTTAGGGGTGCAAAAGAGGTTAGTGTGGGCGAATAGTATATCGCTGGAAGATACTTCTGAAAGTTGAATGATGTAAGAAACGTAAACATCATTACATCATTACATATCATACTTCTTTTTTAAATAAGGAATTGTGATTAGATTTTGCAATAGCAGGCAGAAGTTATCGTAAAGTGACCACCATTAGGTATCCTAATAACATCGGGTCGTATATAACAGTATATAATAAATATATAAGTCAACCACAGTAACATTTTATACTTACGACGGCACCAGCCAAAACACAAGCAAGTATACAAACGGCAGCAGCCTTGTACATTTCTTGTTGTCGGTGGTAGCGAGGGCCGGAGACAGGATCAGATGCCAAGAGACGAATGCCCCGAGTGAGCTGGTGTTTCTAATTGATGAACTTATATGTAACACCATGGCTTTGTCCTTTGCCCAATCTTCTTTTTAGTGTCATAGGCGTGTCTCTCCTAACAAGTGGTTCATGGATTTGATGTTTTCCTAAAGCTTCATGCCCACGTGTTTTGATGATTGTGTTTGGATGATTGTCTTTTGATGATTGTGTTTTGATGATTGCGTTTTGATGATTGTGTTTGGATGATTGTTTTTTTGATGATTGTGTTTTGATGATTGTGTTTGGATGATTGTTTTTTGATGATTGTGTTTTGATGATTGTGTTTTGATGATTGTGTTTTGATGATTGCGTTTTGATGATTGTGTTTTGATGATTGCGTTTTGATGATTGTGTTTGGATGATTGTTTTTGATGATTGTGTTTTGATGATTGTGTTTTGATGATTGTGTTTGGATGATCGTTTTTTGATGATTGTGTTTTGATGATTGTGTTTTGATGATTGTGTTTTCTCAGTTTATAATTTATTCAAAGCTGTGAAATCCTATTTTCATAACGTTCGTATTGCTCTACATCATCTCACTCCCTCCCTATATCTTTCCCAGCCTCTCTGTCTCTCTCTTTCTCCCCATATCTCACCAACTCCCTTACCACATTTTCTGCTTATCCCACCTTCTCTCTCTCTTTTCCTCCACAAGTTTCCCTGTTTCTCTCTCTCCTCACCTCTCTCTCTTATTATCTCTCCTCACCTCTCTCTCTTATTCTCTCTCCCAACCTCTTCAGTGTTTTTTTCAGAAAATCTCCACGGGGAAGGGGGGCATTTTCCATCTTTAGGGGGGGGGGCAGTGACATTGTCGAGTAGTAGCTAAAGGGGGAGATGGGAAGACCACTCTTATTCTCTCTCCCAACCTCTTCAGTGTTTTTTTCAGAAAATCTCCACGGGGAAGGGGGGCATTTTCCATCTTTAGGGGGGGGGGGCAGTGACATTGGCGAGTAGTAGCTAAAGGGGGAAGACTTG